CTTGAAACTGTTACTATTGGCTCAGATGCCCATATTCTGCAGTGTCACCAATCTCCTTTGGCACAGAGGAGTGTTTTCCCACCTGCTGTTTGGAATACAGGGTTTGAATCCAGACTGGAGTTGAAGCGCCCACTGAGTACTTTGCTCTCTTCAATCACTACATGGCTGAGGTTTTGGTCAATTATATTTTACAATGGAGGTTTGCAGACAGGACAGCTCAATAAACACTTGTAGAGTGTTCTAATTTACTTAATTCCCTCTTTAATTACCTCCTGCCACCTTCTGCTGACACAGCTGGGGTGGTAGGAAGTGTTCCCTTGTCACAAATCAAGATGGATTAAAGAAAAAAGAATACACAGTGCTGCAGGTATCAGCTTTAAATTTTCAGCACATCTATTCATATATTTTCAGGTTTCCAGGCATATTTGGTTGATTAATGGCATCCAGCACTCATTGACTAAATAAAGGATACACTGTTTTTTTAAGTTTTTTTTTTTTTTTACAGTTTTGGTATAGTTACTGGTCTAAGTGGGTTTCTCTGTTAGCTACTGTAAAGGCGCATCTTAGAAGCTATATTCTCCAATTAATGACTAATCAATTGCTAAATTAGTGGATGGTTATTTCAATAATTGATTCATCTTTTTAATTGTTTCAGCCCTATTTAAATGATTGTTGAGAATATAACTTTCAATCCTGTTTAAATCCCACTCAGACATTGACTGGTTTCTGCCATGCTAAATCTCCTTGTTTTGTATGAAATATTTTTTTTATAATCTTCATATGCTGTCATTAATAACTTAAGTTCCATTGGTGAGAAATGTGCACTTCGAGCCTTCTCCTTTCCTCCTGCTGCCATGGTGGATCATGTTTTCTGTCATCCATTGATGAGGGCTTCCTATTTCGCTTAAACTTACCCTGAAATCTGGACTAATAAAACCCAGAGTTGAGTTTTCTGATTGATTTCAGCTGCTGTGAAACAGAAGATCCCGAAAATCCCAAAGCTGGATAAGTTCACTGAGGATAATTTCCTCTCCACTGTCGCTACAAACATGCTTAGTGTGAGGGATTGCATTTGAGTCAATGAGTCGATGCAATCAACTGGTTTTCCTTAGATAGAAAACTTTGAATCAATTTGACTGTATTATCTGGTGAACTGTAAAGTGCGTGGAGATGACATGTGTTGTGAATTGGCGCTATATAAATAAAGCCAATTGAATTGCTCTTTAATTAGAATAGATTTATCCCATTTTATGAAACGGGGCCCAGGTGGACAGTTGCCCTCTCATCTTCTGCTAGATCTTCATAATAATATATTTATTCTTAGTAACAAAAATTGAGGAACACCAGTAATAAATTCTAGATCTTATGACTCTAAACTTATAGAAAATATTTAGTTCTTACAGAAGACTGATAGTAACATTTACATGCATATCAGATATCTAGCTAGAACTTTGCCTAAACCTTATGGCAAAAAATTCTGAAATTTGTTGATTGTCTCTTTTAAAGGCTGTGCTAGATCTGTGTATGTATATGTGTGTGCATACATATTTAATATGTATATATTTTAGGGAAATGCGCTGCTAATGCTAGTTTGGTTTGGGATTTGTAGCTTTAGCCGATGCATTTGGGAGGTTTGGTTCTGTGATTAAACCATAAAAACAATTGAAACCAGCAAGGATTTCAACCCCCTCCCAAAGTCTGCTTTTCAAACTAGCTTAAGGATATTTCATCTTGCTAACTGAACTTGCTGATATATAATTACATTTAATAACAGCGATTAGATAAAAGTAGGCTATTATCCATCCTTAAGGAAATTTGGTTGGATAACCCTGATGTAAAAAATCAGTAATTTGCCTAAAGCTTACTATCCTTAGGTCAAGATGCTTGCTTTCTAATGTCTTTTTGCTAAAGATTTATTCCACCACTTTTCTCTAATTTTGATAATTCTTTAAATAAAAACATAATGGACAGAAAACTTCTTCCTTCAACTTCAGTTATGTTCACCATCTATTTATCACAAAATGTGTGTGAACGAAATTTTATGGGGTGTTGAAATGAAATCTCATAACTGCATTTAAAAAAATCATTAAAAATATATATACAACAGGGTCGGATTTAGTTTCTTCTGAAAGTAACTAGTATTTAACTTTTTTTTGATACCATGAACTATGTGGGCTACTTCCTCCATTGTTAGTGGCTTACATACAAATAGTGGATATAATAGATATACGGCTCCAAGTTTGAGGTTGTCTTGGTTCTAATTCAGTGCTTTTAGAGTTCCAAATTCTTTATATGTGCTTTTCTCTTTTTTTTTTCGTCCGCTGTTTTGACCATCTGAGGCTATACTTAAGTCTGTCATTGGTTTTTCAATCATGGTGTAGTAATTGTTAACAGACACCCATCAAAAACAAGCCAAGTCTTTGCCTCATGCGTTTTTTCTTCCATCCTCTGTTTTAATTTTAGATTTATGATGGGATTATTTCGAAGGCAGTAACTTGTCCCCAAAACTGATTCAAGTTGTTTTTTTTCTGTATGAGAAAGATGGCTTTTGACCTAAAGTATTTGCCACCCATCTATCTTCTTGCTCTTTGTCCCATTCCTCTGGTGACCACACGCTTTTTTGAAATGTAGCCATCACAGTGTTTTCAACGTCAGACACTTATTCTTACCAGTCCTTCTTTACTCCTCGTCCCCCATTCCCACTATGCTTCTTTACAAACTGTGGGTTTAGTTTGATTGGTTTTGTATGTACTAAATGTGCTGGGTTTGAGGGCTCTCAGATGGTAGTGATTGGGGTGGTTTTGAAAGACTGTGGAGGGTAAGAATCTTAGTGTGCTTTATTGCCAGGCCAAAGAAACCACAGGACTACACCAGCAGCTCTATAACTCTACTTTCCCTTGGATTTACGTTTCCTCGCATCCCTCTCTTTTATATAAATTGAAAATCTCACAAAGTCTTCTCTTATTTCCTTCTGTCTTACTTTAACCCTGTTGTTTCAAACGGTTCTTATGTTTCTTCTGTAATTTGTCAGTAACCTGTCTGTTTTGGTGCATGTTGAAGGTTTTAAGTTTGAGGATGATTTTAGGTTTGGTGGAGCCTCTATTGGTTAGTCAGCTTTTTAGGGGGTAAATTAAAAGGGTGATTTCAAAGACTTGAACATGTCCCCAATTTAGTGGTTTTGGGTTACAAGTAAACTTCTGAATTGATGTTAACAAAGTAAATTCTTATTCTTAACACCTACGTAAATATGTCGATGTTCTATAATATTTTAAAAGTTTATAAAAATTAACAAAAAAGCCTTTTCTTTCTTCCCTCCAGTTTTCTTCCTGGCATAATGTGGGTCTGGTCCTAAATGACTTAGGGGTTGAATCTCCCAGGCAATGTCATGTTATAGGAAATTTGATAAAAATCATATAAGTGGACTTAAACTTTGATGCATATGTAGGGTATTGATGGCCCTCCTTTAATTAATATATAGACTGAAATTTCATAGAAATTTAAAAAAGTTTATTTTATGTATTAAAATCCTATAAAAATTTAATTGGTTTTAACCATAATTGACAACAAAGACGAAGAAAGAAATCGTTAAGTTTTTTTTGGATAAGAACGGATAGATCCATGCATTTCTTTTCACCTATAAAGATATAAACATGTGATAATTTGAAACCTGAAGTGCTTCTCTGCCTGTTTTTAAAACCCGTCTCTTCTCCGCAGCTTTTGTCACTATCTGAGATATGTTCATTTTTTTAATTATTTACTATAGTTCTCTTCATTTTACTTCATTCTTACATTTGCTTATTGCATGCTTCCTCTGTTATTTTGATGTTATGTTTCTTTTGTCTTTTTAATTTTGATTGGGTTAATTATGGTATCATAACACAGCTACTGTATTTATTGTGTGTGCAGCACATTGGTTATGTGGGTGTTTAAAGTGCTTTATAAATAAAGCTGGTGTGGTATTAAATTGATTGACTGAATTAAAATTTTCTTCACTACAGTGAAAGGTAAATCATCATTTTAGATCGCTCATGTGCAACTTGTGGACCTTTAGTTTTTTATGATTATTGTTCTCTGAGGAACCTTGTTTTTTTATTTGATGCAAATATCGCAGGAAAATAAATAAAAACAATATTTTTTAGTTAGCTCCTCTAGCCTAAAGGCTTTGAAAAAAATAATTTTCTAACATGTTTAAATCTTTATTTGAGGGCATTGATCAATCATTCACTTCTCATCTACAGCTGGGATTGGAAGCCACTCTACAGCTTTCAACAGGATCATAAAATTAAAGGGTTTCCTTTTTAATTTAGCAATATATGACTGTTGCTTATCCTAACTTTTGCAAAGATCAATGCATTATCTCATGACCTTCCACTTTACGTTTCATGACCCCCTGTAAACACTGTTTTAAAACACGATGTTTAAACTACCAGATGTTTTTAGATGCTCCAAGATCAAAATAAAAAAGAAGAGATCATGGTTTTCCTGATGCTATTCTGTGAATTGGGTTGCGGAGAACTGAGTAACTTCAAAGACCTGACCATTTTTTTTCTGAGGCTTTTGACTCTTAACATCACAGTTTTACTTTTACATTCAGATTTTATAGTAATATATATTTGTATATTGTGCATTCAAATTTACTACTACTTTGTTAGTTTTATGCATTTTTTGTTCTATGGATCATTGTTTTATTACTTTATGTTTTGTTTCAAGGTCATTGCTGTGCAGCATTTATTTTTTATATTGTTGTCATTGAGCTGCTCTATATCTAATGAACAATCAGTAGATTGCTTTCCTTTAGAATAACCTACATTTGTCACAGATGAGTATATAGTGGGTTTTATTATAAGGGTTTATAAGACTATCACTATCAAGTTAATTTTTGCCAATCCTCATATGCTTTCAATATATACATACTAAGTTACAGCAATATATTTTTCTCCTCCCATAATTTAATAAAGTACCAAACTTGTGCTCCACATTTTTAATCTGTTCTATCACAGAAAGTCCTGTGTCGGCTCACCACAGAAGAAGACGATGGTGCCACACTGGCAATGATGAAGCATTTAGGTGTGCCAACCAGAGAGTACTATGTTAAAGTGCTGAATAAGGTATAGTTTTAATAGCTTATGTTTAAAGGTATGCTTGCACTGCAGTGTAAATTAATTTCAAATGATGCTTTATTTTTGCATTGCAGATGGTAACAATGATCCAGGAAAGCATATGGAAGAGTCGGTGTTCTCACAGCAACAGAAATCAGAAGTAAATATTATTTCCATTGAAACAATTCATATTTGGAGTTAGAGTTTCTGTTCATGTTTAACTGTGATTTGTTGTGAATTGCAAGGAACTATACAAATCCTGACATTTTTATGTAGGAAATTATGCCATGTAGTTATATATTAATCAGTTACACACAGCAATATGTAAAGGTCTCATAATATACAACAATTGAAAATAAAAAGCATGTCCAGAGCATGTTTTTATTGTTTGAGGACTAAAATTCCTCTCGGATTAGTCCGACAATATATACCAATACCCTCCTCATTTGCTTTCTTCCAAACAAGCTGTTTTAGGTTTCCCCACCCTCCTCAAGGCCTTGCCCCCACACCCGCAACAGCAGCTTAACCATATAACCGCTCATTGCCATTCATTTATGATGTTAAAACAATAATGCACAATTTTTTATTCGATTGGATATGCAGACCGGTCATCTAAACCCAGATTATCGAGCATTTCTTCTACAAACAGAACAATCTCGTTTGTAGGCACCAGATCTGCTCATGCCCTGTGCATGGTAGTGACATTACACTATATTATTGGCTGAACTTTGCCACGCTGGCATACAACATTGTGGTTACCTGAACAATGATAGTAAGATCATTTCACCTTGTTAAATGGCAATCTCTTATGAGACCTGTCTGTCTCATAAGAGATTTGGTTCTTTAGAAACCTTTGCAGTATAGTTTTTTTTCTGAGTGCCGTTGCCATATTGTGACGTGTTCATTGGGGCAGGGCCCCGAGCAGATCTGATCACTCCAGCAGGTACCTTCAACGGCTGGAAACTCTTTCAATAAACTAGCAATTACATCTAGTGGCTCAGTAGTCAGTGATTCTTAGCTGCTATGGCCTCTATCTGCTGTGTTGAACTAACTGAGCTTCTACTAAGAAAAGTATTGTAACACAAGCACACAATCGGAATGACTGCAGATAGCATGTTAGGAAAAGAATGTTTGTGAAGCACAGAGAAGATTATCCGTCTTATAAAAAAAACTTGCTTATCAAAAACATTAGCTGCAGTGCCAAGCAGTCCATAGTAAAGTCAAGTCCAGCTCTTACATTCACAGCTTTGTAACGGACAGTTGGTATCAATCTTCAATTTGAGATGTGTGGAGAAGCCCGCTTGTGAACACCCATGCTGTGAAGAACTCCTCTTTGAAATTCCTTCAGGTTAGCAGGTAAATTTTCATCAAAATAAAATCCATCCTCTGAGTCTTCAGGGGCTCAGATAAAGGCAGTAGAAAATACTTTTGTCTTTTTGGACAAAGCACAGCAGGTGCTCTGTTAGTCATGTCTGTTTGGGGCTTAGATGGGGGAGTAGTTATTTCCCTAAATGACATCATAAAGGGAAGGATTTCGAAAGGATTTTTTTCATTTGTGAACCTCATACAAAGGCTTCAGGATATATATGACTGTTAGAAAATGTTAATAAAGTGAATTTTGTATAATATGAGACCTTTAAAGATTTGGCCAAAGTTGCCAACATTGCTCAGTTTATAAAAGGCACAATTAGCTTTTATCTAAAAGATAACATTATCGATTAATTATCGTTCTTGGCATGTATGCATAACTCTCATGTGAATCTTAAGATTATGATCTCATCTCTGATAACAATAAAACATATTAAAAAAAGACTTAAAGACAACACAAAATGTTTAATAGATAACACAAACAATCATTAGCTCTGATCATCATGTTTTATCATTCTGTTTCCCCAATGATACTAATTTTAACATTTCCCAAACTCCTCAAAGGTGTTCGTGTGGCAGTATTCAGGCTGCATCAGAGGCTTTTATGTCTCTTATAACATGTGCTGAAGCCTCCCCTGTTATTGGTACCTTGCTGCAGCAGCCAGCTCCTTGCATCAGAGGAGGTCTGAGTGAAAACTTCATTGATGCTCTACACTCTGCTTATTCCAGGTAAATCAAGTTGTGTTTAAAATATGCTATATTTTAGGCTTTTATAAAGCTAACAGAAATGCGTCAGTCTCCTTTATAATCGTGTCTTGTTAGATAAACGTTTAAATCTCTCATAGAACAAATCCAGGTTATTTTGTTATTGTGCTGTTGTAACTTTTCTGGTTTAGTGGTTTGTATAGAGCTGTATTCTAAATCCACATTATGCAAAATTATTATTATTTTTTTTATTTAAAATGTGTAGATTTGTCATTGGTGTTTCTTAAAAAAATCTTTGCAGATGTGACCTTCCACTTGAGGAGGAGGTTGTTATTTCTCTGTGGTGCCACAGTCTGCCTTTTCTGGAGGAAGCTGTGCTCAGTTTGCTCGACTCTGCGACTGCAGCAGGATCAACGCCCGATAAGATAAAGGAGCAAGTAACAAAGTCCTTGTTGGTGGGTAAAAAAAGTAAAAAATCAAAAAGAGAAAACAGTTGTTTAGCTTGAAATGCAGAGGGGTTTGGGTTTTTGTTGTTTCTTCATCATATTGTTTTTTGTTTTTTTTCTGGAAATCATGGGTCTGTAAAATGATGGTTGATTTCTGACATCAGAGTCTTGAGACCAGATCTATCTTCCAATAAGTCGTCATCATTTTTTCACAGCCACATTTAGCACAGTTCCTCACAGGAGTGTTCTCTTGTTATATAAGCATTTTTGTGTTTTAACCAGCTGCAGCAGACTGAGGTCTTTGTGTGATCCGATAGAGAAAAATTGGAAAAACAGTTCTTTAAAAACAATGTTAAAAATATTGATGCAGTTAAAAGATATAGAGAAATTTCATCAATCATCATTAAAATATAATTTTTACAAACATGTTGTTTTATGCATAAGTAATTTGCTGTACATTGCTATGCTGTTCTTTATACAGTAGCAGAAAAGTCTAGTTGCTCTAAGTCTTCCCAGTAACAGGAGTTTAAAGTGCATGATGGAAGCATTTGCAGGGTTTGCACGGTCACTAATGTTCTAGATCATTTGGTTTTCTTCTTTCCACAAAGATATATAAATTAAATATTTAAAGCAATAAGGATCTGGTTTGCAAAATGAGTTAAATATTTGTTTTTCGTTTACTATAAATGCAGATTTCTATTACTTTTCAGCGCACAATATGCAGTACGTTTGCATTTCTTTTTTATTTTGCTGTTATTTATACATTGCATGCTTTTGTATACTGAATGACAATTAATATAACTAAGTCTAAACTGGAAACTAGATTGCAGCAGCAATTAAAAGGTTATGATAATGTGAAATGAGGAGGGTGATGGTGATTTGAGCTTTTTCTTCTGTTGCATTTTCTTCAATATCTCAGCTGCCTGATTTGGCAACATTTGATCCTGTTAATAAACTGCTGATATATTGCTCCTGTAGAAGTAATGTTTGCTTTTTTTTTTTTAGCACAAAGTAGCTCATCTGCCTCAAATTAGAGAGTCTCACAAGACAAATCATTACACTCAGCCATATGTGTTCAGCTCCTCTTTGAAGCTCTCTGTAAACTGAAACCAAGCCGTGGTGCACTTTATAAGTAGGGATCTGAGGAATTTTCTGTTGTATTCTTTGGGATGGGTTATTATTGAGGGCTCTGCCTTTCTGATCTATTTGGCTTTTGTTCTGCTTGCGTCTCACATAATTTGGTGAGCTGCAGACCACATCTCACATCATTAGCGTGCGTGGTATACCATCGCTTAACGGTTCAGGGCTCGTCATTCCTGCTTTTTTAGGTTTGCCGTCACTCATCCCCAGTTCTGTATTTCAGCGATAAAATATTTACTGTTTGTTACCAACAAAAAGACTTCTATAATACAGATGAAACTTTTTCTACATTACTGTTTTCATTAGTAGTAGGAGAAGTGTGAAGTAATTACATTTGATGTAATGAAGTACTTACACTTCAATAACAGAAATGTAATAAGCTAAGTCTAAATATTGCCAAACTTTTGGCAATACTTTTTAAACACGCTTTGTGTATGTTGTATATTTTTGCCAAATGTTATATAAGCATCAGTAGATGTTCATACAATTGAGCACACAGAGGTTATGGTTGGCATGTTATTTAGCTAAGTCACTGATTGCACGTTTTAGCTGTTGGGATTGTCATTGAAATTTAAGAAGCAAAGAGGTTACCTGCGTTTTGAACTAATCAACTTAGTTCAGGTCTGTCAGGCTGTGCTGCTTTTTTTGTTCAGTAGTGATGGTCCAATTGAGCTATGAACGTTTCAGTGTGGAACTGCACAGTCCTGGTGTTTATGGATATTTCTCACAAGTTAAGAGAGATTAAGCACATTCAGTTGAGTTACAAAAATTAAACCTGTTGGGTAGATCTTTTTAAATCTTTCATTTTGAGCTTAGAAATGTCAGGTTGCTGAATTTTAAAAGTATTTAATCATTTACAGATGTGTTGTAGGTTGTTGTCATTTTCAAATGTTTAATTTTACTGTACAAATTTCTCACAATTTAATTTACTAATGGGCCGAAACTGCAGTTATAAGTTTTAGGATCCAGCTACCTCTATCAATAACTACAACGCCTTGAAATGTTTTTCATTTACATCCTTGTCATGGTTGTTTTGAACCCTCTCTTTGCAGGATTGTTTTTATTCAAACACATTGGTGGGTTTGAAGCGTGACCAACCTATTTAAAGTCACACAGCATGTAAATTAACTCGACTCCATGATTAGGAAGGCCTCTGCTGACATTTACTGTAGCAGTATCAGAAATACCTGTTTTAGATTTTTGCTAATATACTGTTGCGTGTTATATTTCCAGCTTATGATGTCTGAAATGAATGTTTTTTGTACGATTTTAGAAAAAATTATTGAATAAATCTTATGATTATTTTATCTATTATAATTTTTTTTAGCTATTCTGAAAATATTGCAATTGTCTTTTGTTTTTTTTAGGGTTAGGTTGGTTTTTTGCCTGTATATGAAAAAAAAAAAGACTTGTAACAAAGAGGTTGGTGATTCCTAAAGGGTGGCTTTGTCCCCTTGCCCCGGATGACGGTTGCTGTTCCTGTTTGCCCTTAACCCTAATTCACCCTCACTTGTGTTAATTCAGACCCTCAGCATTAAGATTAGTATTTTGTAAGAGGGGATGAGAAACAGGAAGCTTAGATTTCATGTGTCTGTTTGGGATACTTGTGTATAAAAAGCAACATGAGTGAGGTAAATTAAATGAACTAGGCAGTCAAAAATAGGAAACACAAAAATGTGCTCACATTCCTGATTTTGGCTCTCCTACCCCCTTCTGATCCAGGGAGAGGGCCCAATAACAATAAACACTCACTTCCTGGCCCAGACTGCTAAAAAAAACAGGATGTTTGCTGTGTGCTGTAATTGACTCTCCTTGAAGTGTTAGTCGTAAGGTATGAAATAGGACGCTAAAAAAGCAGCTGTTGGGAGCCATGATGCTTCATACACATGCATGAATGTGAGGATGTACCATCCCATGCCAGCAAACGGCTAACTAATCTCTGCTGTGCATGCAAGCAGAGGCATGGGAAGGGTGAATAATTGGCAGGTCTTGTTTTCTTAGAAGGCAAAAACATGTCTGGAGTATTTTGAGCTTGTATTTACACCAGATGAACACTTGGTGGAACTATTTGTATCTACTCCCCCTAATTTGGCTCAAACACTGTCCTTTGGTTAGTGTTTTTTAAATTAACCACATCATTAAAAATGAGATATGCAGTTTAGCACCCCTCGATGAACCCTAATTTCTGCTTATTTTGAGTCAAGGTCACACATCTTGTTATATGGCTTCCATGCATTATAATAAGCACCAAATCTTTAAGCATTTTAAACCACTCACACACACATCAGTTTTTCCACTGGCTGCCAGTAAGAGCAATAAAAAAACTGGCTCTTACGCTGTACATGCCTCTCTCCTTACTGTATTGCTCTGCTGGGGTAAAGCCTGTGAGGTATATGACATGTGAACCACATGGCCTTATATGAGTTGCATATTGAGGGCCAGATAATTAGGGACTCTGCAATATGAGCAGTACAGCTGTTAAATGTTTGCGCCGAGGCGTTTTTAGAATGTGTTAAATCTGAAACACATGAGTGTGGATTAGGAGGAGATGAAAAAATTAGATGAGTGTGTGGGTGTGTTAGACAGAGTGGGAAACGGACTGTTAAATGAGGAGAAAATGAAGATGGAAGTTTTATTGTTTGATGCTCCAACAGTGCCACCTTGTGGTTTACTGTAACTCTTTTTAAAAAATACATATGAAGTATTGTTATTGTCCATATTTTCTGAGCTTTCTGAATTAGTATATATGTATTTTGTCATTTATGTGTTAATATGTCGATTGTTATGTGTTTTAGCCTAAAGCTTGTGCCCAGCATTGTTCCATATTCCTGGTTGTAAACGACATCTTTAGGTAAGAGCCATGGATTTAATTTAACTTTCAAATGTTATTTATCAAATGTCTTTTTTTTTTGCTTTTGACTCTGAATGTTTTGTGCTTTTTTTTTCCGGTAGGACTGTTCTTAAACGGGCTGAGAGAAACGAATGTGTTAAAGATTTTTTACAAACCTTTACTAAGTGCTTCCTAAGGGAGCTGACACTGCTGCAGCCTCAGGTATGGTTACTTTTTAATCTGGGCTCTTATAAGTGTGAGTGGTAACCCATTTCTGTTCTTGGTGTTACGTGTTCACTTGTGAAAGGGTTGAAATGGGAAAGAAATTACTAAATGAAGATATCAAGCCGTGCAATGGCTTATAAACTGATCAGTCTTAAAGAACTTTATTTACTATGTTTGTGCACACAAAAAAGCTTAGTTTTTTGCTCTCGGTCTGCAGAAATTTTAAACATAAGTATGTATACTAGTTTTTATTATTTACATTGTCAAATAAAGGTTATTATGAGGCAAGGTACGTTATATCTATGGCATAATATAGTACAAAGACAATTCAAAGTGCTTAAAAAATTTAAAATAAAAGCAAGTAAGGATTTTCCTTGTCTTATTGAAAACTAAATCTTTTGGATTTTATGATTGACATGAGGTAGTGCGAGGAAAAGTTTAACATAATTTCATCTTCAATTAGAGCCTCCATTAGATCTTCTTTATTATTTATTTTCCTTTGAAATAGAATAGAAAATGAAAACCCAAAGTCCAGGACTGTGGGGTTATACTCCCACGTTTTCACTTAAATCTCACCTGCCTTCCTTTCCCAGCTGTAGACAGACCTCCTCTCACCATGATGGTGCCTCCAGGATGTATTAAGCTTTTAATGTGTGATTTCTCTCCTCTCAGTATATGTTCACCAATAACTTGACTGGAATCATTGCACATTTTTTCACTTGTTTTTTTATAGAAAACTTTATAAAGTATGATGCTTTAGTCAGCTCCTCATTTATTATGATTATTATCATGATTTATCTTGGCTAACTGCAAAATTAAAAGAGAAAGCACAATCTTGTTCAGACATTGGTGGAGGACTGTTTTTGATATTTTAAAGTCAAAACTTTTTTTCCCTCCAATTTAGGTAAAAATGTAATTTATAATATTTAATACTTTGAGAGAGAACCTATAAAGAAAATCAAAATTTAACTGAAGATGCCTTAATAAATTATATATATATATAAAACAGGTTATTTTTATTCCACCTAAGGTGGAGAACAATTTCCTAATCTTAGCAGGAAAATTCACTGTTGATGGATCTTTTCCATCATTATCACTTCATGTCCGGCTGAGAGCCCCACTTTTCACACCCCACAGCTGTCACCTCTACTCGACCGACAGCGAATCCAAATGATTAATTTTCACCAAACACCTTTTTTTTCTCCAGTGAAATCACCTGCAGTGATTGGAGAAATGCTGCTCTGGTACTTTGATGCAGCTCTCAGGCCTCAGTGCGCTTCTGTTGTTTTATCTTCCAATAAGGAATCCTGTTTGACTGCAGCAAATTATCAGACACCTGCGTGTCGTACAGCGGCAAACAGAAAATGTTTTCCTAAGAGGATATGAATTCTATCTGCAACACATTTTTGTGAATGCTGTATATTCGCCTCCACTTCTGACCATAGTCCAGGGGCTATAGGCAGATTTAAAATGGTTAATAAGTAAAGGGAATGCCTTTTTTTCAATTTCTTGGCCATTGAGTATGGGAAATTGATTAGTTTTGATGAGTTTAGGCCTTATTATGTTTTCCAGAATCTTAAGATCTGAATTTCTAAATTTCCCAGCACATTTCTGGTATTTATACAACTAAAGAACATCCTTGTACTTTGAATTACTGCATTGTAACTAGAGCTTTACATTTCTGGCATTATTATTTTTGTGCTCACTTTAGTTCTAGCATTCAAAACATTTTCTAGTTTTTACTGGGCTTTATTTAACTTCAATTTAGGAGTTTTTTAACTTTAATTAATTTAGAGGCTTATACTGTTTTATTTAGCTTGTTTTCCTCTTTCCAAGTAAAGGTACCAGTAACAAAATGATCACACTTGAGGTGATTTATATTTGAAATAGACTGGCAGTGAGCTGTGCTCCATTTAAAAATCTATGACCGTTCAACCTGCCAAATCAGGGCAAGTCTAAGTTGGTGCAGATGATCATAAAAAAACAACAACAAAAAAACATTTATAAATGACAAATACAAAAACTAATTAATTTCTGTTTTATTTTCTATTGTGTGGAAGATACAGTAATTGGTACCCAAATTAGGACTAGACATTAGGCCTAAACTTGGAGGCTCAGAAATAAAAATAAGTCTTCGTTTATGAAGACAACTCCAAATGAAAAACAATCTTTAATTAAAATTAATTGTTAAATTATAATTTATTAATAATTTAATAATAATTAGTAATTATTATTTTTTGGTTGATCTGTGTAGATATGAAAATATTTAACATTTAACTGATTAGGATGTCAAGGCCTCACGTCAGCCTGGTTCAATGAGTCTAAGCAACATTTATCGAAGGACCGACACGCTATGCATTTAAACAGAGAGGACATGCAGAAGCTTTTCTAATAGTTTCAGCTTTAATGTTTCTGTCAGCTCATCAGTATTCCCTGGGTGTCTTCTCTTCAAATGCTCATGCAGGATGGCACCTGTAGTTTGAACCAAAGCTCACCAGACGTTTAAAACCCTTATTTATTTTAGTCTGACTTAAAGAACCTTCATCTTAAGATCACTTTAGCCTTAAAAAACCTAAAGACCGGCTCAAACAAGAGTGAAACAGTCACATTACTTGTAGCCTGCACAACCCAGAGAAGTACTACTTTAGAACTGCAGCAAAGGACTTCTCTTCTTGTCTTCTTTGGAAAATAAAATGTATTCTTTGTTTAAAAAAAAAAAAAAAACTTTAATAGAGATACTGCATTAGCTTTAAATATTAAAAGCTGTTAAAAAATAAGGGAATGTAAATGATTCTAGGCCTATAGGTGATTTCAGATGAACATGTCTACATTGTAATTAGCCTTTTGAGAACATATATAAACTTGAGTGTGAGTGGGAGCCAGTAGAGTTGCAGTGTGTGGACCTGTTTCAGAACACATTCACCTCATCATCGCACAGCCTTTTTATCAGGGTTTCATTTGAAGAGCAAATGTGTTTAAAACTGAAGTGAAATCTTTCACCTTTTCAGAGAATATATACGTCTTTCTCTTTGTTTCAGACATCTGCATCTTTAAAAGCCTTCTTCCCACAGTCCCCTTCAAGTCTGCTGCTTTACCTTCTCACCATGCCTTCAGGTCAGTGCGCTCTCACATACTCACTGCTTTTCTGCCTTAACTACTGGAAAAAATGCACCACGGTCTCTAGTGTGTGTATTAGTGCAATAAAGCATGATTTAACAGCATGTTAACTGTTTTTCTTAGACAAAATGAACAAGCTTTCGCTGTTTGTATCCTAACTACTTAACAGTTATAAAGTAACTGCTAAGTAGTTTCCTTCAGATGTTGAAAGTTGAAGCGATGTGAGGAATCATTACTTTGAAATCAATTAATTATTTCCTTTGATCATGGCTACACAAAGAGGCCCATCCAGGTATTGGCTTAAATGCATGGAATATGTGTTGGAGAAATAACAGCTCTATTTGGAGGAATGTGTCCTGTTGAAGAGATGCAGAGTAGGTGAGTGCAGCAGTGCTGCTTATCAGTGTATGCCCAGACTGGCCTGCAGGCAGGAATTATTTACATGAATGCAGCTATTTAGAGACCCAGCCAGAAATCACAGTTAATTATTACTCTGTGTATGTGGCGAAGGGTAATATTTCACCAGGGAGTAAATGGGAATGCTTCTGTAAAAAAGGTAAAAGAGGTGCAGAGTTCTAAATGCATACAGTATATAACATTGCATTTTAATACATACCCTTAGGGAGAAGCTGAGATATTTGTAAAAGTTTGTTTGTCAACTTGAAATGTCATTTTCTTGGGGGAGTTATGATGGAGGTCCTTGTTATACAGATATTATTTTTGCAGAATATGGAATCTGGTTAAATATTCTACCATAAATGTAACTTTTTATTTAACGGCAAACATGATGAAACATCATATGGCTAAAACAATGTTATTCATAAGTTGTGTTAATGTTCACTTCCTTTATTTACAATATTTTCTATTTTTCGCTGTTACATGATAAATTGTCAAGAGATACTCAAATTGTAATTTATTTATTTTATTTAAATTCTGAATTAATAACTCAAAACTTTTACTCTGTTTCATCATGTTTTAATCTTTATGCTGCATCTAGCAGTTGACTTTTATAAACTATCCAAGCTTTTAATCTCTGATTAACATCCCCTGCTAGATGTTAAAAGCTGGAGTCACCAAAGTGACACCTAACAGAAGTCCTTGATTGAAATATAGACAATAATTAAATTGTTAATTTTAATTATTCAATGTAACTGATATGTCTGCTGCAGAAATGAATTGACATTCAGTAAAAACATCCTGCAGGAGACAGCTCTGTGTTGTACCTGAGAAAGTAATGTGAGAAAGACATGGAAATTTTAATCATTATGTTAGAATCAGAGTTGTCAAGTAACAAAGTACAAATACCTTGTTACTGTACTTAAGTACACTTTTAAGGTATCTATACTTTACTCCATTACTTATTTTTCTTCCTCCTTCTACTCATTACATTTTCACAGTATCTGTACTTTCTATTCCTTACATTTTTAAAACAAATGTTACTCGTTACTCTTGGCTGCGGTTTAATGTTTATAAATATTTATTTCACGTCATGTGCGCCATCCAATGCAGATAATTGGCGCCATTCACATCTAGGGAAAGCTAGTGAAATTGGATGAATAATATAAAGCAAACACTCATTGGTTAGCTAAAGGAAATCATCAGAAGCAAGCAGGTGTTCTTCAAACTGCAAACATGAATTTTCTATGCCATGCGACAATGTTGGATTCAGAAAAAGATGTTGAAAAGTCTGAAAGGTCGGACACAGGCGAGAGCGTATCGGGAGATGGAGACCAACAAGACCTCCCTCATCCTTGGCTCTATCTCTAAAGAATTTTTTGAAATAATCAAAAAATTTTGTTTTCAAATCTTTAAGTGGCATCGGGCTGGGTTTTTTTTTAAATGTTACTTTATTCTTTTATACTTTAAGTAGTTTTTGGAGCGCATACTTTTTCACTTTTACTTCTTGAGTAAAGAGGTCAAGTTGATACTTTAACTTTTACCAGAGTGTTTTTAAACTGCAGTTTCTATAATTCTACTTACGGTAAGTAACAAATGTGTGTACTTTTAACACCACTGGTTAGAATTAATTGATCAGAAGAAATATCTTTGGTATTTTGCTGAATAAAAATTATAACAACCTGGATATATATATATATATATATATATATATATATATATAATTTATTTATTTTATTTTTTTCTTCCAGAGATGCCTCGGGAGAGTTGGAAAAATCACCTGATGTGGGTCAGCAGCACATTACAGAGACTGACGGAGGAAGAAGAGGAGGAGGAAGGCTCGGACGCTATCAACATCAGGTTAAAGAAAATGTGCCAACATGTGTTTGCTTCCAGCAGCAGACCTCAGCGCCTGTGTGCTGTTCTTATTTCCATTAGCTGCCATTCAGATGGTTGTTAGTCGGTAATTTCCTCATTGCATCATAGTACAGAGGTCCTGGGGCAGTGTGGCTTCTCCAAGCATTCATTAAAGGCCATTAGCTTTGGGGGGGCAAGGAGGACCACTTAAAAAAAAAAATAGACATTGTGAGGTCCAAGTGCATATTAAAAAACATTATGTAGAAATCTAAAACATGTGGAATGTCTTAGATGGGCTCATTTTTACAGAGGGAAAAAAGGGGAAAGCATCGTTTTAAAAAATAAAACAGGGATGATGTCATAAAAAGGGAGAGGGGTGATTTGAAACCCTGTAGATGCGGTTTTAAACGGGGCTCATTATCTCCTCTGCTGCTTGAATCTGAAGCGCCATTCAAAGCTCTCTAGGCGAGCCAGCAGTGGTGAAGTGCTGCTGCCAAGACCCTGCAGAGGTTCGCTGCTGTTGGTAGGTTGAAGCCAAAAGGAAAGGGAGAGATGAGGTGAAAACACTGGTGATGTTATAGGATGAAATCTGAGAGAACAATCTTTACTGGTCGATCTTGGCTCTGTACAGCTTTGTCTAGTCTGCTGCAGCATTATCTCTCTTCATCTTCTGAGTGGTTTTACAGTTTTCCTTCACAGACAGTCATGTTTTTGTGTTTTCTCTGTCTCTCTAAGTTATTATTATTGATGTTGGATTTTTGTAACTGCTGGTTTTCCCAAGTCATCAAAAACATTCAAAATACAGCTGGAATCGAAGACACACTCTACAATTTTAATCTATCTTTCTTTCAGAATTCAGCGCTAAACGTAATCCTGTACCTGCAAAAAAAAACAATCTTCTGTTTTACCAATTTGTTTTTCATTACATGTCTTAAATTGCAAATTAGTCTATAAAGGAACGGTGAGCAAAGCAAGACCTTATCTGTGATAGATTATATTTTT